TTCCTGGGAAGGAGATGGTGAGTGTTCCCCGTGATGAGTATGAGAGGTTTGTCCAATCCACATCTCAGTAGAACACGATTACTTTCGCACACTCAGGTATGGCTTGTTTGGCATCCACACCCAATCCTTGGATTATTGACTCTAGAGCCTCCGATCACATGACTGGAACTCCAGGTGTGTTTTCTTTCCTCTCTCATTGCTCAACATCACAATCTAATACCCTTGCTAATGGTTCCACATCCTCGATTTGTGGTGTTGGCAATGTTAACATGACCCTCTTATCTTTATCCTCAGTTTTGTATGTCCCTAAATTTCCGTTTATGTCTGTTAGTAAGTTGACTAAGTCACTCAATTGCTCTATTACTTTTTACCCTTCTTTGTGTGTTTTTCAGGATCTCAAGACGGGGATGAAAATTGGTGGAGGGCATGAAGCTCGTGGATTGTATTATCTTGACGGTAGTGGAAGAACATCAACAACTCTCCAGTTATCTCTCTCACCTCTCCAGTGGCACTATCGATTTGGTCATCCTTCGCTAAAAGTTTTGAAATCTTTGGTTCCTTCATTGAGTCAACTTTCTGTTTTAGATTGTGAGTCATGTCAGTTGGGGAAACATCATCGTGTTCCCTTTAGTCCTAGGGTTGATAACTGTGTGTTGAGTCCTTTTTCTTTGGTTCATTCAGATGTTTGGAGTCCTTATAAAGTGATGTCATACAATGGATATAGATATTTTGTCATTTTTGTTGATGATCATTCAAGGATGACGTGGCTCTATTTAATGAAAGAAATGAGTGAATTGTTTACCATCTTCCAAAATTTTTATGCTGAGATTCGCAACCAATTTGGTGTTCACATTAAAATTTTTCGTTCTGATAATGGCCGTGAATATTTCTCTTCATCATTTCAAGAATACTTGGACCAACATGGCATTATACATCAGGCCTCATGTACCTACACCCCACAACAAAATGGGGTGACTGAGAGAAAGAATCGTCATCTTTTGGAAACAGCTCAATCCCTTATGCATCACATGAATGTTCCCAAACCCTTTTGGAGAGATGCGGTGCTTACTTCTTGCTTCTTGATTAATCGGATGCCCACGTCTATCCTTGATGGTCATTCCCCATTCACTACCTTGTTTCCCACCTTGTCTCCGTTTCCCCTTTTTCCTTGGGGTTTTGGGTGTGTCTGCTTCGTCCATAATCTGGGCCCCGGGAAGGACAAGTTAGATGCACGGTCCATTAAGTGCATCTTCCTTGGCTATTCCTGAACCCAGAAAGTGTATAAGTGTTATCATCCTAGTTCTTGACGTTCCTTTGTGTGTGCTGATGTTACCTTCTTTGAGTCTACTCTGTTTTTCTTGGGGTCCGGTGATGCTTATTCCTCCTCATCACCTCTTCGTCTTCCACTTCCAGTTGCGGATTCTGTTCCCCTTGTTCCAGCCGTGACCAAGTCTTTGCCTCCAGTGCCACCACCTGTTGAATGACCACCTATCCGTCAAGTGTATACACATCGCCCACATGTACCGGCTGCTACTCCTCTTGCTCCATCAACGTCGACAGATCCGGCAGTTATCTCCACACCAGCCCCAAACCTAGTATCTGATCTTGATCTTTCCATTGCCTTGCGGAAAGGTAAACGCACTTGTACCCTTCATCCTATTTCTAATTATGTTTCACTCACTCACTTTTTTGCTTCCCATCGCCTGTTTATGTCTTTGTTATCCTCAGTTGTTGTCCCTAAGGATGTCTACGAAGCCCTTGCCTCTCCGGGGTGGTGCCGTGCAATGGAAGAAGAACTCTCAGCTCTAACTCATTATCATACTTGGAACCTTACTACTCTTCCTCCTGGGAAGCAGGCTGTTGGTTGTAAGTGGGTTTATGCTGTTAAGTATTTACCTTATGGTAGTGTAGAGCGTTTGAAAGCTCGATTGGTTGCAAAAGGTTACTCACAAACCTATGGTATTGACTACACAAATACCTTCTCCCTTGTTGCTAAAATAGGTTCGGTTCGTGTTGTGATCTCTCTTACTGCTATGTATGATTGGCCCCTCTATCAGCTTGATATTAAGAATGCTTTCTTGCATGGTGATTTGCTCGAGGAGGTCTATATGGAGCAACCACCGGGGTTTGTTGCTCAGGGGGACGATGGTAAGGTATGCAGACTAAAGAAGGCTATTTATGGGCTTAAATAGTCTCATCGAGCATGGTTTGGTAGGTTCAGTGAGGTGGTAAAGTTTGGTATGAAACAATACCAAGTTGATCATTCCGTCTTCAGTCATGACTCTCAGGCAGGAAAAATCCTATTAGTGGTGTATCTAGATAATATTGTTATTACCGGGAATGATAAAATGAAATGATAAAATGGGTATTGACAGGTTGAAGACTTTTCTACAGGAACATTTTCAAACAAAGGACCTTGGTAAATTGAAATATTTTTGGGGATAGAAGTAGCGAGGTCTAAGCATGGTATTAATTTGTGTCGGAGGAAATATGTGCTTGATTTGTTGGAGGAAACATGTTTGTTAGGTGCTAAACCAACTAAAACACCTATGGAAACAAATACTAAGCTGAACAGTGATATGGGTGAAGTGTTTGAAGACCTTGGCAGATACCGGCGACTTGTAGGTAAACTGAACTACCTAACCATTACTCGGCCAGACATTTCATTTGTGGTTAGTGTGGTAAGTCAGTTCATGCAAAGGAGTTCCTGGTCGTGGTTTGATATACAAAAGTGGTGGAAAACTTGAAATAGAAGGATATACTGATGCTGATTGGGCCGGTTCTATGTCTGATAAGAGGTCTACCACAGGGTGTTGCACTTTTCTTGGGGGTAATCTGGTGACATGGAAAAGTAAGAAACAGACAGTCGTGGCGAGAAGCAATGCAGAGGCAGAATATAGAGCTATGGCACATACTAATTGTGAATTAGTGTGGCTAAGGAACCTTCTACAGGAGATAGGATACAATGTTAACACTCCAACAAAGCTCTATTGTGACAATCAGGCTGTAGTTCATATTTCTTATAATCCGGTGTTTCATGAAAGAACCAAGCACATAGAGGTTGACTGTCACTTTGTAAGAGAAAAAGTGCTGAATGGAGTGATAGACACTGCATATGTTAACACGGGGAACCAATGGGCAGACTTATTTACAAAAGGGTTGATACTCACCAGCTTGAGGGGGAGTGTTAGTGTAGGGGTATTTCTGTCTTTATACTTATGTTGAGGTTGTTGATCTGTAATATTATATTAGAACTAGTGTCCCTCACTTAAGTAAGGGAACATGTGTCTTTTCCATTATGTTAGTAATATAAAACATGTCTGGCCGAATGGGAGAGGTAATTTTTTTTCTCTTATTCGAACCAGACTTTTCTCCTCTTTTCTCTCTCTCTTTATTTTTTCTTTCTTCTTTCTTCTTGGCTGTTATCAGACTAACAGAACTCAAGGGCAGGCCGAATCATAATAACTGATTTCCTACTCTTTTGTATCTTGCATTTGGATTACTTTTCCTCACTTTTTGGATGCAGATGGAATCCTCCACAAGATGTGGTGAGCCATTTTAGATCCAATGTACTGCGGCAATAGAAAGAAAGGGCCAAATGCTTATGGATGGCAACAAGAGCAGCTGTAGTTTGGACGATACGAGAAAAATGAAATCAAAGGATTTTCTCTGAGAAGAGCAGACCTAAAGGGGAGGTAATTGAAACTATAAAAATCAGATCTGCACACTGGGTAATGACATTAGATATCTTCAAAGATGTTTCAACAAATGATATAATAAGAAAATTGAAGGAGGTGGCACAAATGGAATTGCATAAAAAAAGAACCAAGGTGGATCGGAAACCACCAGAGCCAAATAAATTGAAGCTGGACTTTGATAGCAGCTCCTTTGGGAACTCGGGGAGGGCTGGAATAGGGGGAATTTTCAGAAATCATCTTGGAGAGATTGTGGCTTTATTCCCATGACCAATTGGGTAAGGAGACTCGGTTCAGGTAGAGACAATGGCACTCTTGCAAGGTTTGAAATTAGCAGTGCATTTAGAAGCTAGAGAATTGGAAGTAGAAGGGGACTCACTGTTAGTCATTTCTTGGGCTAAGCAAGTGAGCTCAGCTCCATGGAAGTACAGATTTGCATTCAGGGAGATTGAACTACTGACCAAGAAATTTAACTCTACATTTGGGTGGACCAAACGGACAGCAAATGGACTGGCAGACACTCTGCAAAACAGGGAGTTGATAGGCCTTCTCTTTTTTTGGGAAAAACTGTAGCTGAATGTGTTAAAATCGAGGATAGATGATCTTTTTGTATTCTGGGGACTTTCTATACTGTTTTACTCTGGAAAGTACTTGTAATCTGTTTTTAAATTAATAAAATTATCTTTCACTGATAAAAAAAATCTCTAGCACATCTGAACCTTACCCCCATGTACCTTGCTAAACATCTCACCTCACTCATAGCTTGCCTATGGCTCCAAATCCCCAAGCTGTTAGATTGCATGCAAACTACTTGCATTTAGAATCACCTTCCACATCAAGTTGCTTGAGACCAGATACTCCATGGATTCTTGACACTCTTCTAAGTGAGAAGCCAACATGCACAATAAATGCCATATTTCCTAATGAATTTCTAAGAAACAAACCTTAACTTCAACCTTTTTCTATGGATATATGTTGCTAGAAATTTGTAAAAATAATGTGGACTGTTTTTAACCATATATTTCACTGTAGATATGTCAGCAAGCAAAATTTTTCTAGTTTTTCCGAGTCAGATTCCTGACAGATGATTGGATTTCAGTTCCCATGTCCATCTGAATGCTACACTGTTACCCTTGTTTATTTTTCTATCCCACTTTCTCATTTTCAGTTTCTGGTGCTTATAATGTTTCTGCAGGTTGTTGGAGCATATTTTGAAAAACATGGGTCAAAATCTTTTGCAGTTTATTCCATTGCTGTGACAGATGCAGAAAAAAACACATGGTTTGTGAAAAGAAGGTACCTTGTTTTCTATTTACTTTTACCCTTCTTACCATATCAATGTTACAATTTTATTAAATTGTGTGTGTATTCCCTTGTGGAGGAAGTATAGAATGTTTTACATCATCTATTGCACAAATAAAGTTCCCAGGATTATGCCTCAATTTCTTGACTTATTTCTAGCATTCTTTGTGTTGATGCTTTGGAACGTAAATGCGAGCAGGTACAGTAACTTTGAGCGCCTGCACCGACACCTTAAGGATATACCAAATTATACATTACATTTGCCTCCCAAGCGGTTCCTTTCATCAAGTACTGATGATTCTTTTGTTCATCAACGCTGCATTCAACTTGACAAATATTTGCAAGTATGATCTGGTTCCTAATGCAATTTCCCTATTAAGTGTTTGTTCAACTTGTATATCCTTTTTCTCATGGAAAATTCTTCAGGACCTTTTGTCAATAGCCAATGTTGCTGAGCAGCATGAAGTGTGGGATTTCTTAAGCGTTTCCTCAAAGGTTTGCTTCTTCTTGATATACAATTGTGCTAGTTTTTAGATAGATATTCAACCTGTTCATGGGCCGGGCCCATTCAAATTTTGGCAAAAGCTAAGCCTGAGCCCAGCCCATGAACAGGTCTAATGGATATGCATCAAGACTTATTTCTTTCATCCAAGTAATATATGATGTTCTGAGAATTATCTTTTCATTTTTGAAGAATTATTCCTTTGGGAAATCTACCTCAGTAATGAGAACGTTGGCAGGTATGTAGTTCTTATTCTTTGATTTTAGTTCTTATTCTTTGATTTTATCCTAATTCTGGCTTCTATTTGAGTAGCATTTTGTGGGTTGTTGTAAAATATAGTGTGCTTCTGTAATTTCACTTCATATCCATACATATATGCTTGTGAAAAAGGAACAGGGCTGGGGGATCATGTGCACTGACTGACAACATAAGTTCTTGGTCACTATCTGGGACTAGCAGTCATATTTGTTCATTTACTGTAATAGTCATCCCTATAGAACAAATCATGGTTTTTAAAACCGACCTGGAGACCAAACTGGTCAGGGGTCCAGTTACTGGGTCGAGCGGTCCGATTGTTCGAACCGAACGGTTGGCCTGTTCTGACAAAAAAATAAAAAATTAAAAAAAAATGAAAACCGGTCAAAACCGTTCGAACGGTTAACTGCCCGGGTCAGAGGTTTGCTGACCAAAATCAACAGTTTTTATGGAAAATCCAATTTTGGGGAAAACCGGAACCGGTCACCTGACCGGTTCCCGGTTTTTCTGGTCCAACTGTCCGGTCCGGTCCGGTTTTGAAAACCATGAAACAAATATTTGGTTGATATTATATAATTTTTTTTCAAGTTTTTTTTTTTCTTTTTTTTGTGAAGATGGTGAAATAAATTTTATTGATAGTAAACATAAGCATGAAGTACAAGGATGAATGGAAAATCCCAACCGTATAGTGAGAGACTGTATTAATCCCCATGGCAAACAACAGAAAGTAAGATGGAAAACAACGTCCATCATTCCCCAAATAGTTTCTTCCCAGCCAGATACTTTCAAATTGTTGAGTTCTGAAAACACTTGTTGACAACCACCCGAGTGCCTGTTCTGCCAACCACCTTAGCACCAACTTATCCTCCATAAGAGCTCTGTTTTCAAAAATCTGTTGTTCCTCTGTCCATGTTGACCAGAAAATTGCTGCTAGTATAGTGTGCCAGACAACTTTCCTGTTTCAGACAGATCATTCGTCTACCATGCTTTCCAGTGTAGGGATGCAAACGGATGGGATTGGATTCTAATTCAATCCAATACTGTTCATGTCAGATCTGATCCGATCGGATCTGATCCGATCCGACTTGTTTTCCTTAAAAATTAATAAATTATTAAAGAAAAATAAAATATACTAATTTAAATAAAGTAAAAAAATACAAGTATTTTTTAATTATTGTCATCATATATATTTATAAATAAATAACATATATTTATAAATATAATATATATTGGATCGGATAGGAGTGATCCGAATCCGATCCAAAGATCCAAACAAGGGTGATCCAAATTCAATCAAATAGGATCGGATCGGATCACAATCCGATTCATTTGCACTCCTATTCCAGTGTATCTTTGATTAAGTGGGGCATAGTCCAGTACAGATTAATGACTGAAAGGAAATAAGCCGTTGGGCTGTGGTTGAAGATTCTTTTTCTACTTGAGAAAAAACACTAGGATTTGGATATTCATTCCACTTCTATATGACTTGTCCTTGGTCAGGCATTTTCAAAAGGTGGCTGTCCATACCAGGAACTTTAGATGGTGCTGCAGGTTCTCAAACAACTCTGTGGGGAAAAGAATTTCCATTAGCTTGGTTTAAGTGCTTGACAACAGAATTGAAAGAAGTAGTGATTGGTTGTCCATTCCAGCATCTTCTGTCTGAGCCATTGGAATTAGAAACATGGCCTTGGGGCTTGAGCAATAGACTGGGCACTTCTTGAACTTCCTGATCATGTAGATTCCTTCTGAATTTGGGTGTCCAATAATCCCCACCTGCCCCAAAATCAAACACCTAACCAACCTTCTCCTTTATATCCAGAGAAAGACAAGCAACTAACCAGAAGTTGGAAAGTGCTTGCCCAATGGCCTGCTGTCACACCAACTGTTTAAGCAGAAGTGTATTCTATCATCCCTTCCTACTTTGTATGTAATTCCCTCCATAAAATCTGCATGTGCTTTTTCAAAGCCTCTCCAAACTGATAGAAGTTGAAGAGGTTGTACTAAGTACCAATGTTTTAAAACGCGGAGGCGTGACATGAGGCATTCCACTACCTAGAGGTGTGAGGCATAGTTCAGAATGTAAAGAGGCGTAAGCCTCCTGAACACAAGGAGGCGTAAGACTCCTTAAGAGGAGGGGGGGATGAGGCGGAGGAAGAGGAAGGAGGATCTCATTTTTCTTTATTTTTAAAATCTTTTGTATTAAGAATGAAGATGCATAGCACTAGTTGAAGGGGGGGGGGGGGAGGGGGTGCTGGGGGGCAAAGCCCCCAGCCAAGGGGTCCAGCCAACCCACTTTCTTTCCCCTTATCTTTTCTTCCCTTTCCTTTTCTTTTCTTTCTTTTTTTCTTGCTCTTCCCTTTCTTTTCCTTTCTTTTTTTCTGTCTTTTTACATGATGTGTGCATGAGGCGTACACCTCTAGCATGCCTCATGAAAAAAGTTTATGAGGCATATGCCTCTTGCACCCGAGGCATACGCCTCAAAGGTGTCAGCGCCTAAGAAACTTTAGTAACATGAACTAGTTGTCCAGTGTTTGGGGGTTTGAGTTTTCTCGACATAGCCTTAGCCCTAACAGGTTTAAAGCTCCCTTCTAACAGATTTCTCTTCTTTTCATTCCCAAGTCCACTCCCAACTTTCCAAGAATAACCTGTGTGACATTGAGATGATCTAGTGAGACCACCTCCCCTAGTAATTTCATTTGCATTAGTGAAAACTTGACCTTCCTTTTCCACACTCAAGTTGCTAACTTCAGAGATCAAAACTGAAGCTTCAATGATCAAACCCAAAATCATTCCTAACTCTTCAGAGAAAATATTGGTTTCCTAGTCTTCCTCCATATCCCTGCCTATATGTCTAGGCAAGGTTTAAAATGTTGGTAGTGTGGAAATGTTGGTTGCCTAAATATAAGAAACATGTCAGAAACATTGTAAAAATTATAGATATGGTGGGAACATTGTAGAATATGCAAAATATAGAATGATATTTTATGAAATGATGAAAGAAGAATAAACACACCTTTTTAAATTATTATCTTGTTCCTAATCACTAAACAGAGCCAAGAAACTAAGGTTATAGACAAAAGAATACGTTTTGAAGTTGCCCTGTAAGCCTTAAGGCTCAGTTTGGAAAGAGTACAAATACAAATATGTAGAGCTTCATGATTTATATTTGCACTGTACATATTTGTATTTGTACTCTTTACAAACTGAGCCAAATCACTACTATATGGAGGTAGGTGGTCTTTGCCTTCTGATATAAGCTTGTTATTCAACCCATCTGTCTTTGTTTGGGCACACTAGAAGAGGTAAGGTCATGTGGAAATGTGTCAGGGCAGCCACTCTGTGGACTCTTTGGGAGGAAAGGAATGCAAGAATTTTCTTAGAGAAGGAAAGAGGGTTAGATGAAATGAAGGATTGTATCC